CAACCAAATTTGTCCGGCCTGACTCGATTTTTTGGTTCTGACCAAATAATGCACACCCCCACAAGCGATTGCCGAGAGATTGCTATGTTTAGTAATATGTTGATTGTTGAGAACTTTGCAACTGCACTAAAGGATTCAGTATAGTCTAGTCCATGTTGCTATTTGAACCCTTGAGCTACTAATTTGGCCTTGTGGCGAGCAATTGTATCATTCATGTGGTACTTGGTTTTATCAACTTATAATATGTCCATTTGGTGTTGGAGGCGCCAAATCACAAGTTCTCTATTATTGAAGAGCTTAAAATTTGTAGGCATGGAAACTCTCCATTGAGGAATTTTGTTGGCATGGGAGAAGGTTGTGGGATCAAGAAGGATGAGTGTTGTGAAGTAATGATGGAGATAGGCTGTTGTTTTGTGTTTTAAGATTTCTAGTTTTGGGTGAGAGTGAGAGTGATTGAGAGAGGGTTTTGGATTGTTATTATGTGGAGCTTGATTGTTTTGTTCAAAGTTCACTTAAAGCTTTAGAGTAGCACTGGTAGGGCTTAAAAGCATCACTCAAAGCGACCATCAGGAACCAGCGCCTGGTATCAGGCGCCTAGGCACCCAGCCAAATGCTCTAGGACCCGTTCGCATGGAAAGGCACTGCCCAAGTAGGGCGCAACGATGCCCAAGAACGCATTTTCATCATTCTGGAAATAAGGCGCCCTAAAACTCCATGCTCGGGATAGGCGATCCAAAGCCAAAAACAGTTCGAGTAGATTATGCATTTAAGACCACGATGTGGAATTTGGAGAACTCTCTAGGCAGTGCACGATTTAGGGCAAAAAATAGAATGAATGGTGTGTGCAGAAGAACAATCGAAGTTTTGTAGGTAGATTTTTGTAATTTTTCCCGTGCGATCGAGAGAGGAGCCTTCATGAATTATGGGATTGTAGAGAACATTTAAGTGTGGTGTAATCTTTATATTTCTCCTCATTTATAATGACTGATGTGGTGTTGTATGACTTTATAATTTTTTTCTCATTTTCAATTGTTTTCACGTTAATTTTTATGTTCTGTTTTTTGTATTTTTTGATTGTGCATTTATGTTCAATTATTTGTTTTGGATCTCTCAAATCAGTTTTTTTTTTGTTACTCTTGGGAAATGAAAATATTCTCCCAACAATTGGTATTAGAGCAAAGTTTTTTTTGAAGATCTTTGATTCAAGTGGGAGAAATGACCAATGAAGTTACAATGTGAAGAATTTCACCGGTATGAACTCTTTATTATGAAAAATATGAAATACAACAATGGTCGTCGAAGTAATTAGTTAGTCTTAGAAGTAAACCATAGGGCTTTGGACTTCCAAGATTTTTCCTGCGGTGTGCAATGACTAATATTGGAGACTGGCTGCACAGACTCTTTATTGGACTTACTTAGCAACAAGCCCGTAACCACAATTCTCTTGGACCCGACTTGGGAGGGAGGCTTGGCTAACGAAAAACATAGTGATGTTTCAGGAGGGGTAAAAGATCAATTACCCTCCTATATAAGTAAAAATTTGAATTTAGGGGAGGCGGTTAGGCACTTGTCCTCCAGAACCCTTTCTGGGACCGCCTCTGTTAACCAAGACATTGACTTATCGAATTAGTCAAGGAAACAAAGGCCAATTAACTGAGACAGAGAAAATATCATCATGCACACAAACACATATATATAAGTCAATATCATAATCAAGAGTTTTTTTTTCTAAAGGTCACGATTTTGGAGATGTAATTACTTACGAGGGCTTATCCTAGTGATAGAAGACCTCAAATAAATAAACTAACTTATACCCGTTAGGTAGGGAAAAAATCTTTGGTTAACGTAGACACATAAATTTTAAGGATTTTCATCATTCGAATGATTAGATTCCCATCAGCGTGATATATTATTTTTCAAATGATGCATCGGATCATTTAAATAAAAATCTTTCGAGATCCGTGGCGGACATACTCAATATAAAAAAAACATCAACATAACATTACTGGGATTTGAGTTTCTAGATTGCAGAAGATTGTTGCACTTTCAACTACATAAGTCAGCTACATTGCTATCACTGAGAGTAGTAAAAAAATAAATTGACTATAGAGCTTTATAGCATAAATAGGCAAAGAGCAAGGGATTTGAAAGTTTCATAATAGCAATATGAGTATTATTCATCTAGCTAAGAATGATGTTCTTCATTCCAGGACAAAACTCATTCAGTTAAAGTATCACTTCATTCATTTATTTCTAGAAAATAAGTATTTATTATTTTAAAAAAGATACCAATAGCTCAGAATCCTGCATATATGTTGACTAAGATGATACAATTAAGAAATGAAAGCTATCTTTGGCTTTCATTGGAGTATAGAAAAGTTTAGACTGAAGGTGATACATATTTGGAGGTGCATGTTCAATGTTCACTTAAAGCTTCAGAGCGGCATTGGAAGGGGCTCATAAGCAGCACTGAAATTGTCCAACAAGAACCAACACCTTGGGGGAGCACACATGCCAGTGGGGCGCCTAGGCCCCTAGCCAAATGCTTCAGGACGTAAGTGCGTGGAAAGGCAGCGCCCAAGAGGGGCACAACTGCGCCTTGGGTTAAGTTTTGAGCATTTTAGAAACTGATCGTCCGAAAATTCGATGCTAGAGGAAAGCGATCCAACACCAAAATTAGTTTGAACAATTTAGGCATTTAAGTTCTCAATATAGAATTTGGAGAACTTTCTCGAGAATGTTTTAAAGAGGGCAAAAAACAGAACAAGCAGTGCATGCAGAATAGCATGCGGAATTCTATGGGTGGATTTATGTTATTTCTCTTGTACGATCGAGAGAGGAACATTCGTGAGAAGATTTGAGTGTGGTGTAATATGTACATTTCTCCTTATTTCATAGTGAATTTCTTGTTGAGGCGTGGCTCCGTAATTTTCTTTTCCGTTCTCAAGTTTTCTCGAGTTAAAATATTTGTCTTTTATTTTTTGGATTTTTTATTTGTGCGCTCCTATTCAATTTTCTCTTCGAATCTCTTGAATCGCTTTTTTTTTTTTGTAATTTGTGGAGTGAAATTATCCTCCCAACATGGATTTGGTGGGGATGATAAAGTTGTTGTAGGGTCTGTGATGGTAGTGAAGTTCATTTCTATTGATGTGATGGTTTGAGCCTTCAGGTGATTGGGAGGGAGAAGTGGAGTTTGTGGATGTGGGAACTAGTAACGAGGGAGAAGAGTGGGTGTGACTGAAGTTTATGGCCGCTGCTTGTAGAGAAAATTGTGTTCATCAAAAGGTGATATGACGATTACTGCTGCTGCCATTTGTATGATAGATCAGTCCTCATTTGACTACTGCAGCTATGAATGATACGCAGCACCCATTTCCTGTGTATTTACATATTTAATATTTTAACTTTTAAATAGTGAATTACACCTTTCATGCAAATGTCACGGACAAATAGTCTCATATCGGCTAGGTGTAAGGCCGAAAAACAGTATTTAAGTCCTGGGTTGCCCACCACCCCTAAGAGCTCTTTTGGGAGGTGACAAGTGGTATCAGAGCAGACTACTGCCTGCCAGGTGTGTGGACTCTCTATGGTCCAGTGAGACACTCGTTGGAGTCAATCCGTGACGAGGGCGTCACGTGATTGGGTGGAGGAGAATGTCGAGGAGAATGTCACGGACAAATAGTCCCACATTTGGTAGGTGTAGGGCCGAAAAGCAGTATTTAAGTCTTTAAGTCCTGGGCTGCCCACCACCCATAAGAGCTCTTTTGGGAGGTGACAATAAGGTGGTATATATTTAAACTTTGAAATTTATGTGTTGGATATGTAAATACATAGGAATTGAATGATATGTATGTAAAATTCTTCCTCTTAAATTTGAATTTATTCTTTATCCTTACTCCTCGAGTCAAACTTCGATGCAGCAATAAAAACTGAAATCCTATACCTGTGACTTTATATTTCTTTAATCTACAGATTTGGTGGCCTTGAGTTCTACTTCCTCCGCTATCTCCAGCTCTCTCGCCCGACCTGTGCTTTCATGCTTGTATGGATCTTAATCAGCTCCCATGGACTGAGAGCTTCATTTCTCCTTTTTATACATTAACTAATTATGTTTCTAATATGGTTTATGGTGATATAAGAAGAATGAAAGGACTGTTTTTTTGTAATTTCAGCTTTTAAAAGATTTTCATACAGATAATTCAATAAGTGAAGAGCAGAGCGTCTTGATTGAGGTTTTGAACTATAATGACTTTGAGGTGCTATTAAACAAAAAACAGAACAAAAGCATAATTTTTTAAAAGCAATAATTGTTTATGTTAGGTATGACTCATATACTAGATAAGGGACAAATGCTGGAGCGAAACGGAGTGAGCCAGCGGAATGGAGTGTAATAATCTGTCTAATCGGGAGTGAGTTTCGTTATGTGGGTTGGGGGTGCGGGGGCGGTACAGTACATGAGTAATTTTTGTAATTACATATACGTCAGTGTTATATATATATAAGGTTATATATATATATATATATCTTGTTTGTAATCCTAATTATCTTGTACTCTTTTTCTGAATTGAAAAAAAAATTTTCATACTGCTCTTGATGACGTAGGCATATTTGCCGAACCTCGTTAAATCTCTGTGTTTCTTTCTGGATTTGTGTCGATTCTTAATTTTTTGTCCTATAATTCTCAACAGTTTAAAAAATATTTAACTCTTTAAGAACTAATATAACAAAAAAAATTTCAAGATTTTATCTAAATAATAATATTTAAAAAAAAAATTATATAAGAACTAGCAATTAAAAACTTAATAAATTTTAAAATTAAATAATAACTAATTACAAGTTTATTAATTTTAGCTTCTTCTTGTTTGAGAGGTAATATTTCAAACAAAATGTTCTACGTTTAAGGTTTTATATATGCTTGGACGGGGATTTTGTTCATGTACAAATTTTATTTTTTATTTTTAAATTTTGCAAAATTAAATTACAAAAAAGAGACATCCTGGACACAAATTACCACAAAGCAAATACGTATAATTCCATCTCCCCCAAAAATCAGTCATCATCGGAAAAGAAAGGAGGAAACCACACCTGCAATCACAGCCGTAGGATCTCCAAGCACCGCCGAGATAACAAACTGCACCGCCATCGCCGCCAATTCACAGCACCTCTTCACCTTCCCCTTCCCCTTTCCGCTCCTGTGATGACTGATCTCCGCCCCTCTAATGCTCGGAACCCTAATATCCGACACCCTCATCTTCTTCCCTTCACCACCACCACCGTAATAGATCTCACGCCAACTGTCTACCAATATCTCCATCACACACGCCACGTGCAATTCATACTTTCTGCACTCGCTCCTGTAACTCCAGCTCCTCCCCTTCCTCCCGCACCTATGGCACGGCGCCGATGCTAGCCGGCGAAGCAGGAGGCGGAGGTCACCGTCGGCGTGGAGCACGTGCGGGAGGGCGGCGCAGCAGGGGTGGAGATCGAAGCCGCACATGCGGCAGTGGTAGACGAAGCCGGCAATATCGCGATTGCAGGCGTTGCAATAGCGAGGGGAGTCGCCGGGAGGGCGGGGGAGGAAATAGAAGACGCATTTAGGGTAGAATGGGTGGGGCAGGGGGATGGCGGCGGCGGCGGCGGAACAATGGGTGTGGAGATCGAAGTCGCAGAGAGAGCACTTGAAGCGGGAGCCAATGCCGACTTCACGGCAGCCGTCGCATTTGAAAGGGAGCTCCGAGTATTCGAAGCGTAGTTTATGTTGGGGGTGGCTGAAGTGGTTGAGTTCGTCGTATTTCATGGGTATGGGAGGAAGAAGATCGAATATTAGTGTTTAGAGGGCTGAACAGATTGGGGGAGAAGACAAATTGGTTCTGAATCTGTACTTATAGAACACGAGAGGTAGGGTTGGACTGATGAATTAACCATTGAGTAGGTTCTGAATTTAGCTCAAAGATTGTTAATCGCTCGAGAATTGATTTGAATTTTGGCTCGAGTTTTAGATCGAATTTTTTCAGGTTGATTTCAAACTAATCCAAACTCGGCTCGAAGTATGATCGTTAACAACCCTATTGGTCTTAGAACTATGAATTTCGTGAATTCAGATCGAGGATCTTTAATTGGCTCGGATTGAAATAAATGAGTTGAGCTACCCAACAAAAATGAGCTTAGTTGAGCCACAACAAGCCTCTTGTAGATCATATCAGCCCTAAAAGAACCTCAACTCGGCTCAAAATCAAATCGTCAAGACTCTTGCATAATTATTCGCAACAGGCCAATTGTTTTCTTAACATTTACAAAACTGGCCTCCGGATGGAATAGTTTTTTAGATTCGGTCTTGTGTTTATCTAATTAAGATTCTAAACTTTATATGGGATGAATGCTGCCTTTGATTTAATATTATTCGAAGTATGTTTCCACCTTCATTTGCTTGCTTTCTTTGTGATGTTATAAAAGAAGCATATGCTTCCCGGTTTATGAGGGGTAAAGCATGGAACAATACAACATAAACCCAACAGGAGGGATTCCACTCATTGAAATTGATCCTTATCTCCATACATCAAAAGTTTTGAGATGGAGAAGAATATATTCACCCAATTAATATTAATTTGTTGCCAAAATCTTAATTTGTTTTGATATTCCTTCTGTTTTTTTTTTTTTTATTAAAGTTAAGAAACATGCAGAGTTTATGATGAATTGATAGAGTAAAATTAGGAGACTCAAATTTGAATCAAATTTTAATCATTGATTTCCAACTTAGATGTTTTTTAAAAGAAAGTAAGTTTAAATGAAGATTGATAAATCACTAACTAATTTTCATCATCTGACACGAATCTCAATGCATAACACGAATCTCAAGACGATATTTTAAGCAAGAAACATTTAATTCTTGATAAAAATTTATCCAGAGCTCCGATTTCAGCAAACGTATAGTCAAACTGACCGGTAAAGTTATTCAGCAAACGTATAGTCATTGTTATTGCTGAAATTATCAAATTTATATTTAAATGTCTAATGTTCAGTAAATTCTATTATAAGTAAGGTGGAATGGAGCTACCATTAATTAGAAAAACGTATAGTCAAACAAATCTCCACCATTGACCACCATCGATCATAACCAACTAGATGTCATCAGCAACGTTGTGATCTGAAAAATATAGTTACCCTTTTTCACGTATGTGACATAAGAAATTTCTGTAATCATCAATTCAACGGTAGATTTCTACAACTGGGTCAGACCCCGTGGTTTTTCCCTTTACGGGTTTTTCAAGTAAAAAACTTCTGGAGTCATCACCGCTCGTTTCTTTTTCATCTGTGTGTATGTGCTGAACTTTCGTACAACACTAAGACGATAGTCTGTTACTCTGCCGCCGCGAATTTTCTAGACGCACCAAAGATTTACTTCAACTTTATCATTGAGCTGCCAAGTAAAGTTATTTGATTAGAACTTTGGATTTACCCATTTTAGTTTTTCTAATTAATGGTAGCTCCATTCCACCTTACTTATAATAGAATTTACTGAACATTAGACATTTAAATATAAATTTGATAATTTCAGCAATAACAATGACTATCAGATGGATATAAATATTTTTAAATAATCATAAAAAATGATATGGCAAATTAACTAATACAAAAGAAATAATAAATAAATAAAGGTGCATAATTAGGCTAAAAATAATCATGGCATAAAGTTAATAATGGTAATAAAGATGATACCGTTTCAATGATTAAAAAAGGGAAGGTTTACAGGCATGCCCCTTAATTTATATGTATGTTACATACATATCTAGCACCTACACTTCAAATTGTACAGATATGAAGCATTGGTTTATCCAACACGTAATTTAGCATAACTAATCCTCACCTCGATCAAACTAATCATGTAAAAAAGAGTATTTATAATTTTAATAAATAATGTTAACGGATCGAGAAACTAAGGTTTAGACAACTAGACCGACCCCGAATCAGTAGTCAGTTCGATCCTAATCATATAAGAAACCCTTTATGATTGTGAACCGCCCAAAACTGGTCAAACCACATATCAACCACGCGCGATTATTTCTGCACGATCCCAAGCTGTGTAAGGCGTCGCATCGCGGTGTGGGAGAGCTTTACAACCTTCAAATCCTAACCGACGAAATTCTTCAATGCCATTAGTTTGTTCTTTATTTATATTTGTCATTATTACTTCATCATTATATCATTTAAATTATATTAATTAATATTTACCGGTTCAACATCCTTGTTCAATGAATTTTTTCTTCTTCCGTTTCGATGTCGGGCCTGATTTTCAAAACCTTGACATACACAAGACATGAACGAGCTTAATTAATTACCGAAAAATGCAAAATCATGAGATTAATTTAATTGAGTTATTATTAATTAGTGTAAACAGCAGCAGCAGCTGTTGGAATAGAATTTAATTTAATTTATGCACTACACATCAGACTATTCTATTCTAGGTTCCAACTGCTGCATGCCGTGAATAAATGAGAGGAATTTTCTGTTAATAATTGCAGTTAAGGGAATAAGAATAGCATAGGCCTGGCTGCTTGGCATATTAATTAATGAATAATATAAAGCTCTTATGCTGATATTCTTCCTAAAGCCAGGCTATTGTCTTAGCACTAACTTAGAAATGCTCCCAAGTCCCAGCTAGAAGGTTATATAGACTATTAAATAGAAAAAAAAAATAGCTTAAATAAACCTGAATATTACTTATTTTAATTATTAAACGCAGAACAATATATATATATATATATATATATATATATTACTATTGTAGATCTATAAATATTTATGCATATATATGTTCTCTTCATAGACTTAATGTGTGGAATTGAGCATCCATTATATGGTGAGAGTTGTCCATGCCCCACATATTTATAAACCAATTTTATTTATTTTACTGTCTATCTCCCACGTATAATATTAGTTTCCTTGCGCTATATATAAGTCCATGCAAATTCTCTCCCAATCCATAAGTAGGGCTAGTAATGATTTGATTTTAAGCCGAGTTGGGATCAGTTTGAAAATAGCTCGAATAAATTTAGTGTGTCTCGATATGGGCTTGTGGCTCGTTATATTCAATTTCAAGTCAAACAGGTTTGAAATAGGATCGAGTTCGATCAGGCTCAAAATTGAAACGAGCTCGTTAAAATTGAGTTATTTGGATCACTTTCAACTCGGAATCAGCTCGATCCGACTCAAAATTGAAATTAATTGGTTGAAATTGAGTTATTTGGATCAATTCTAGTTCAAAATCGGCTTGAAATTGGCTTGATACTTGTCATATTCAATTTTACTTGGCAATATATATATATATATATATATATATTATAAAAAAGAAAATACCACTAGATGATACATGTATGGCTCCAAATCGGCTCGACAAAGTTTCGGCTCATAGATCAGCTAGTTTATTTCAATCTAATCTCGATCCGAGCTAAATTTCAGATCGATTATCGAGCAATTAACGATCTTCGTCACAGCCCAATCCATAAGAGCCTCCCAACAAAACTGAGGGCGAGAGTGAACATACATGTTAATTGAGCCGAGCATTACCGATACAAAAGAATATCAAATTTATTTCTGATGATATTGTATACAACATTATTTGTCAAGTTAGTTTCTTAGAATAATCCAATAACTATTCAAAAGGCAATTAAAATACTATTTTGAGATTGAACATTTTATTGCAATCGATCATTATAGTAATTAGGGCAACTACGTCATGTGGCAATTTAGACATACATAATAAATCATAAAATTTAGTCTTATTGCTAAAAAGCCTTGAGAATATTTTCTAAATCGCAAGCTAGTAGCATTGATAACCTTTAGCTCGCACTGTTAGCGCTAGAGCTCGATATTTCCCGCTCCCGTTCGCGAAGAGTCGCGCCTCCCGCCTCTTTAGTGGCTCGCCCACCGCTCCCGCCTTCCTATGTTGTGAAACTTAACATCCCTTCGCTCCCTCCTGATCGTGATAAAAAGGCTTCGAACGACTCTCCTTCAGTTTCAAAGAAATCACGGTTGGTTTTCTTCTTCGGTTTCCTCGGGATAGAGGAAGGAAGATGCAAGAAGTAGTTCCTTGCGGTGAATGAAGAAAAAAGAAGAAGAAGAAGATTGTTCTCCCGTGGCTTCTTCTTGGTGGCTTGTGGCAGAAGAGAGATTGGGTTTATTTCTCTTGTAAGTTTATCTTCTTCGATGTATCTCGGTGTATCTCGGTGTAGAGAGAGAAGAACAGAGAGAGAAGAAGAGAGAGCAACGAAGTGAGAGTGAGAGATTCCTCTTGTAAGTCGAGGTGATCAACTGGTGTAAATTCCTCAAATAGTAAAATCTTCTGCAACTCCGTGGACGTAGGCAATTTGTCGAACCACGTAAATATGTTCATTCCGCAGCGTTACTGTTTTCTGGTGTGAATTTCTCTTTCTATTTTTGCTTCGTCGATCGTTCACCTTTTTTATTAATATATATATACCACATCAACTCATATATATCTAGATCTCACAACAACACGCACTATGTGGTATGTTTAACAGTGTGATGTGATTCACACCGTCCTCCGCACATTCTTCATCCTCACGTAATATGATGTATTTTAGGATTTATTTGGGGTAGTATTTTTTTTTTTTTGGTGCGTTGTGTTTTGAAAAACACTGATTACCTGCTTGGGTTCGACATCACGGCCTACGTTTCTTCGCGATTTTATTACGACGCTACCCTGGGTAACACCTCCTGGTGACCTACTCTCCCCACTCTCACGTTTCTTCTACCCTAAGGTAACACATCTCTTGCTTGTCCCTCTCGCTAATCTCTCCGACAGAGACGAGCATATGAAAAAAAAAAAGGAATAAAAATGTAAGATTTTCATAGATTCCTCCAAAAAAAAAAAATAATACACATACATCTTACAGTTATATTCAGTAAAAAAATTTATGGCTCAAACATTAAAAAAATGTAGATCTAATTATCTAACCAACAAAATAAATAAAACAAAGATTTACATGCATACCACTAAATTCTTATGCATTTACCTATCTAACATCTGAACTAAAATTTTTACATATATACATCATTAACTTATGCATGAAAATATGTATTTCACTTTTAAAAAATTAAAATATTGATATTTTTAATGTGATGCAAAAAATGAGAATGGTACAAAGGTAAACAGTTAGAAATTGGATGCTATGTAAATTATCAATGCCCCAAAAAACCAAAAAGTTCCATTCTATCAAAATTTAATCACAAAAAAATTTAAAATTGTTGTCTTATTTCAAAACAGAATGAGATACATAATCAATTGATCAAATTTATACCCTTAAATTAAATTTATAGAATTTTAATTACAAATCCTCGCCTCTTTTTTTCCGCCTTATTTCAAAGCACGAAAAAAATATTATTTCAGGAGTACTCATGCATCAATACTACAATAAAAATGTATTATGTGTCATATATATAATGATCACATCATAATACCACCAGGAGGCAACTCATTGGAGCCTGAGGTAATATTTTCTCCGCTACAATTCCCAGTTTCATACACTCCAATGGCAATACGATCCCAAACCCGCCCGCATCGCCCGCTTCCTTCCCTCTCCCTCTTCCCCTCTTTCTCCTCGTCGCCGGAAGTTCCCAGCATTTCCGGCGACGGCGAAGGCGAAGGCACCGCCGACGACACTCTTGTTTCCGCCGCCGTCTCCATCCTCCGTTCCCACCGCAGCCGCTCCCGCTGGAACTTCCTCAAATCCATCCTCCCTTCATCCGGCATCTCCCCCTCCGAATCCTCCTCCATCATCCTCCAGCTCCGCAATAACCCCCACCTCGCCCTCCGCTTCTTCCTCTGGACCCGCGATTGCTCCCTCTGCAACCATACCCTCTCCTCCTATTCCACCATCATCCACATCCTCGCCCGCTCCCGCCTCCGATCCGCCGCGCTCTCTCTACTCCGCTCCGTCATCCGCTCCAATCCCAACACTCCCGCTTCCTCCCTCCTCCAAACCCTAGCCCTCACCTATCGCCCCTGCGACTCCGCTCCCTTCGTCTTCGACCTCCTCATCCAAGCATATCTCCATTCCCACAACCTTGACCCCGCTCTCTCCGTCCTCCGCTCCCTCCGCTCACGCAGCATCCACCCCCTCACCTCCACCGCTAACTCCCTCCTCCGAGCCGCCGCGAAGCTTCGCGGATCCACCGCCACCCTCAGTCTCTACCGCGAGCTCGTCGAAACATTTCGCCCTAATTCGCAAACATTCAACACGCTTCTCCTCTCGCTTTACCGCGACGGGAGGACGGAATTGAACGGAGAGATTCTAAGGGAGATGGATCGATTCGAATGCCGTCCTAACGCGTTCACCTATAGCATTCAAATGGCGGGGTGCTCCGACGTAGCCGAAGCGCGGAGGTTATGGGAAGAAATGGCGGAGAAAGGGATCAAACATGACACTACTGCGTACAATACTCTGATAAAAGATTACTGCGAGGCCGGTGAGGTCGAGAAGGGGGAGGAACTTTACCGTGAGATGGTGATGGAAGGATTGGAAGCCACCGGGACGACGTCGGAGCTTCTAATCAAAGGCCATTGTCGAGCCGGCAATGTCGAAGCAGCGATGCTGGTGTACGAGGAGATGAAGAGGAAGGGACTTGGGCCGGAGGCGGAGGTTGTGGATGAGATGCTCGATGAAATGTGTGAGAAGGGAATGGTTGATGAAGGGCTTAGGGTTTTGAGAGGTGAGATTGGGAGGAAGGATGGGGTTGTGATGGGGAGTAGGAGGAGGAGCTATAAGGCGGTAATAAAGGGGTTTTGTGAAGCTGGAAGGATGAAGGAGGCGATGAAGCTGCAGGCGGAGATGGCGGGGAAATGGATGGAAGCTGATGCGGGGGTTTATGAAGCGTTTGTTCGTGGGTATGAGAAGGCGGGGCAGTTTGAAATGGCTGAGAAGTTGAGAAAAGAAATGGGCCAACTGCAGCTGGGGGAAGAAGACTGTTGAAATGTATGCTGGAGGATTTCTGTGATATGGATTATGAAAATTTAGATGTTAGATGTGTAAATACACGATTCTTAAGTGCTATGGATGTAAATTCCCCCTATATTATTTGATGATATTTAGATTTTTTATATCATGAGTTTACTCTTGTCTTTGTGAACAAGTGGATCATTAACAAGGAAGAGTGCTCATTATTGCGCTTTAACAATGCAAATGACGATATATAATCTGTTTGGGGGAGTTGCAGCTTATTGATAATCTACTGATAAACAATTGATCTGGATGAGCTGCGGATCAATAGCTGATCTGGATAAGCTGACTGACTGTTTGGTTTCAGTTGTTGGAAAACAGTTGTTTTGTAGCAGTTTTTGGATAAATAATCAATTTGTCTCTGTGCAGTAAGATTATTTGTAGCAGAACTGTCTAAGCAATATATTTGATGATCGAGAAGCCAAAAAGGAGTTCGGAATAGTACAAAAAATAAAATACAAACCTTAACAATGAGTACTAATATTGATAAGTAAAAAAAAACTATTAAAATTACTATTAAAACTATGGCAATGTTTAGATGAACTTTAGCAACTGTTTGGATTATAATTTATAGAATAATAAAACCATCAAGCTAATCAAATTCAATGAATATGGTCAGTTGTTCAGCAATCAACAATGCAAACCAAATGAATCGCTACACCTATCTCCCGCCAACAAAGAGCAGCTCCAGAAAAATGAATTCTCTATCCAAGGAGTTTGAATCAAGTATTTGAGTCACATATTTATTGAAAAGCAAAGAAAAAAAGGACTTATTTCCAGACAGAAACATCAAACAACAGATTCACAAGAAAAGAAACCTTTATGCATAGAGATCTTTCTCAAGATTTTTCTTTTTTTTGGCTCCTAAGGGCTGTTTGACCCCTGCCGAGAAGGAGAGGAGAAGAGAAAAAAAAAAAGTTCTTACCGGGGAGAGAAGGGTTAGGCTAAGGTTTGTTGTGTGAAGGCCTTCTGCTGAATGGGAGGGAGTGTCCAGCTAAGGCTTTCAGGTTGGGCCGAAGGAGCGGCTAAGGCAGATGAGGGCGATATATCATCCCACGGCCGCTTTTTTAATTAAAATCAAACATAGTTTTGGGATAAGCAAACCAGACATGATAAACAAACGGCACGGCAGTGTTTTCAAAACGCCGCTCGCAGCTATAAACTACTCCAAATGGGCCCGTAATCAGCAAAGCTGCAAAGCACACAGTTAACTGTCTTCCAAAATTATCAATAAATATTACTATTTACAAAATTACCATCAAATTGGAAGGATTTTTCAAATTTCACTAAAATATTAACATACCCAATAAAATCCTAAATATAACGTCTTTTTTTAAAAAATTTTTATTAAATTTTCAATAGTTTGATTTTGATATGCCTAAATATAATGGTTTGATAGTTTAAAAAAATGGATTATAGTTTCGTAAATAGCAATATTTCTGGTACTATGTATGTAATTATTTTTTTTATTACTTTTTTTATAATAATTTTTTAACTGTAATCATACGCTTTTGAAATCAATTAACACACGTGCATTATCGCCCAATACTGCGGGTTTTATGAAATCTAGATTGATAAGCATTATCCTTCCAAAGATGGGAGAGATTCCGAACCATAAAAATACAATATTAGCGTACAAAATAACAGGCTAAAAGGTCTGGGCTGTTTTGTATGTATATATATATATATATATGTATTTCACTTTATAGAAGTTTGAATGTCAAATTAGAAATAAGTTAAAGTCAGGGCCGTTATATTTGGTGCATTAATCTATCTGTAAAGTACATACAGCTTCGTTGAAAAATCAAATCTAACCAAAAAAAAGAAAGAAAAAGAATGCCAATCCATTTTTACCAAACAAAACAGCATTCAACTCCATAGAATATTACTCAATGATTACCAGGTTTATAACAGATCCAAAGTAAAAACCAGCGTTAATACCTCGACTTAAATAAATGAACTTTAATCACACTGTACCTCTTACTGTACATTTTGGAAGAGAAAAAGGAAATTGCTAAAAAAACCTTTTTAACACTTGGATGAGAAACAACATTTGAATTCAACAGTGGATTTTATATACAAAGTAAATTCTCAAATCTGATCAATGATCGAGAAATTATTCAATTAATTCAATAAATAGAAGAGAGGAAGTTAGAACAGAATCACTCACAAAGATGCCACTTGCCATAGGTTGAAGAGGAAAGAGGCTGCAGTTAGAACCCAAGAGAGGAAAGCCATTGCAGCAGAAATCTGGTATCGCCCGCAATATTTAGGAGGGCAGTAAGAGTCATTTATATGGACAAGCAAATCCACTACGCCGGCGGTTGCACAAGCAGCTGCCAATGAGAGTAGTGATAAAGACTGCAAAAAATTGGGAGGAAATGACATCATGACTGTTAATCTTTTGAGATAATTACATTATTCACATACTCAGCACTCGAAACATTGCTATTTACAAAAATAGCATCCATGTGAATTTTTTGAAATCCCAAACCAAAGCGTTTACTCGTGCCGCCACGAGCAAACCATTGACCAATGAGAATTTGATAAAGATTTGGTTGAGATTTTATTGTGAATTTTGATAATTGAGTGAGAATTTAAAAAATGGATGAAATAGGGTGCTAGATTTGAAAATAGCAATGTTTTGAGTGCTAATTCTTTTTACTAAGAGAAAAGTTGGCATCGCATAGCAAAGGCATAAAGAAGATCGATACCCAGTCTCCTAGAACCACAATCACCATAACTCCGGGAAGGCGAAGACGGCAACTAACGAAAATTGAGTATACGTCGACAATTGCCAGTGTTGCGCTCCACGGGATCAACAAGCCCATGATAGTGACTAGAAAACTGCCAGAGCAAGAAAAATTAAATAAGAAAAAACTTGAGATTATTGTATGGAAGATATTACTTCAATCAAGCAACAAATTTGATTTGGAGAGTATACATGAGCTGAAGGAAAATCAAGCAAAAATTTTAAATCTATATTTATATGTCTGCTCTCTCAGACTTTGGCTTTGTTGAAGGAGGAGGAAATGAAATGAAATGAAACTTTCGCGAGTTGCTATTTGAAGATTTAACCCTATTATTCCCAAGTATCTTGAAAATGATAATTTTTGTTGGATCATATTGTTGTATTAGAGGCTTTAATTGTATTAGAGGGTAAATTGGTCATATGTGTTTTTTGATTAGTGTGTCATAATGCTTTCTTATATAAATGAGGGATGATGACTTCTTTTGAGAAGTGAGTTGTAACCCTACTTTTTCCTGACCGCCTTTTTTTTTCTCTCCACATGTGATAGTGGAAGCTCCCTCCTCATAGACAGGTGGATTTGCACTGAACCACGTAAATCTCACCATGTTCGTTTGATTGTTTGTTGTGTGATATTGTTTTCCACATTGTTGACACAACAATTAGTATCATAGATTTTGGTTCGTTCTGGGTGCCGACAACAACTGCATTACATGAGGTTTCGCGATCTTAGCAGTCTGAGGAACGATATGTGATCTGATTCGGCGTGGCGTGTTAGCAAGGAGCTATCCGATGCCGCACATTTTGGCAGAAGAGGGTGGCAAATCCAACAAGAGGTGGTCCGATGGAAATGGCGCATCAGGCAAGTCTAATGCAGGAAGAGTTGCACAGGTTCAACCTAATTCGTCAACCGACAGGCAACACCTGACGAGAGTTCAAAAGGGAATCTTTTTTTTTTTTTGCATTTAAAGGAATATTCCTGATTTCCTGATAAATCGTACTCCTGCATAGCTAGCAAAGGAATATGGGAAGAATCTTTGATTTCTAATAGTCGGAATATTCCTTTAGAATCATAGCATACATCAATTATCAACAATAGCACCGCATCTAGTCTTCAAAATCCACCATGGCGTTTGAAAAGATAGCTATTTATCAGTTGGTTACACATACTATCAAGATCAATATGACGAAATTTGATGACAAAGAAAATTTTGGTTTGTGACGATGCGAGATGATGGGCGCGATGTGATCTTTGATATGGAGGAGTTTCTTAATGATGATGAACGGTATATAGAAATATCAAATAGAATGGTTGAAAATAGACTACAGTGTTTGTGGCTTGATCCGAAATTGCTCGACTCGGAGAATCAAATATCTGGTGATGATGGAGAATTTGCAAGAAAATTATAGAGAAAGCTAGAGAACAAATATCTATCTCACGAAAAACATGACAAAATATCTTCAAATGAAGGGTCGACTCTACAAGTTTCAAATGAGATGTGTGATTACTATTGATGAGCACTTGGATGACTTCACAAAGTTGTTACAGATTTGTTAAAGTTGAATGAAAATATTGGAGAAGAAGACAGGACAATTTTTCTGTTGAATTCGCTCTTTGTTGAGTACAAAAACTTCACAATGACACTCATTCAAGAAAAAAAATGTCTTGAATAATGATGAAGTGACTACGACGCTATTGAATCACAAGTTTCGTCAAAGGGACAAGGAAGGCACAAACATGGAGCCTGCTAAGGCACTTGTACTCCAACGTGACAAATCTGAGAAGAAGAAGAAGAGTTGGACAAAGAAATGTGGTTGGGACGATATTTCTTAGTTTGGTGGGCGAAGTCTTGAAAATATCAGTGTATTTTCTGTTTAAAAATTGTTCATTGAAAGAAAGATTATTCGAAGCTGAAGGAAAAAGGAAAATGGATTTTCCCCTGAGTTGAAAATCAATCTTATTGTGGAGAGGTACGACGAGACAGATTTAAATGTATCATTATTTATAGTTTCTCACAGTCTATATACACATGATTTGTGTTGAATTCAAGACACGGGTGCTACCTATCACATTTTTCATCATCGAGAATAGTTTGTACATACAAGAAGTTCGATAGCGGAGTTGTGACTATGGGCAACGATCAAATTTGTCGTACTATTGGTCTGGGGAGCGTCTTTATCAGAATACATGATGACACTATGAGGGAGCTGACTGATGTTAGACATATTCCAAATATCAGGAAGATTTTATTGTCATTTGGGGTCTTAGAAGTCAAAAGCTACAAGGTAATTATTGAGGCAGGAGTTCTGAGAATATGTCGTGGAACACTGAATTTTTATGCAGAGAGTTCGTCATCACAACTTTTACTATTTTCAAGGTAGTACAATGATTGGAATGGTGGTTGTTGTTGATGATGCTCCTGATGTCACTATGTTGTGGAATATGCGGCTAGCTCATGCTAGAAAAGTTTCACTTCAGACCTTGGTGAAGCAAGGAATGATCAAAGGAGCGAGCACTTACAAGCTTGATTTATGTGAAAAATGTGTTTTGAACAAAAAAGAACGAGTATACTTTAGTACTGTCACATGGTATTTTAACGAAAGTTTGCATAACTGTTTGGGGTCCGACAAAGACGACATCATTCGACGGACGAAGATCTTTATGTCTTTCATCGATGATTACTTCAGATATGTTTGAGTGTACACATGAAGCACAATAGCAAGGTGTTGGAGATTTTCATAACTTGGAATCAGTAGACTTAAACTCTGATTGGTAAAAAGATTTGTGTAATAGATCAGACAACGAGAATGAATACACATCGTATGTATTCTTGCAAGTGTGCCAGAAATTTGGGATAAAACATCATTTCACTTTCGAGAGACACCACAACAGAACGAGGTGGTAGAGGGATAAATAAGACTTTAGTTAAGAAATTTCAATGTATGTTGTCCAATGCTGAGTTTGATAGAGTCAATTGAGTTGGGGCTATAGACTATGTACATAACTTGGTGAACCATCTGTCTTCTGCGGCTATTGGAAAGAAGATCCCAAAGGAGATGTGGTTGTGGCATTTTGCTAGAAATTATGATCACAAGAGAATTTTTCAGCGTCCAACTTGCTCCACATGCAGAATGATAAACTAAAACTATGTGCAGAGAATGTGATATTCAATGGCTTCAAGCATAGTTTTTAAAGGGTTTCAAGTTGTATGATCAGTCAGATAGGAAGATCTTCTTCATTAGTAGAGTTGTTACCATTTTTGAGGCAAGCTTGTTGAAGCCTCGAGAAATGAAACAGGTAAAGAGTTCTACTAGAACCATAGATATATAACAAAAGTTGGAGTTTGATGAGTTCATCCACTTCTACTCAAGTACCTAACAAAGTTGCAATTCGGGAGGTACTTATTGGCAGTGCTCAAGAGAAGTTGGAAGAAGATGCCAAGAATGAGGTTCCTGCTTAGGAATCGCTATGTACAGGACTAGACATCAGAATATCCCAAAACCAGCTTGGTTGAGGGATCATATTGTATTTGCACTTTCGATCACGGAGACTAAAATCCTTTGTCACTACAAGGAAGATGCAGAGAGCTCGGATGGTGATATTTGGAGAGGGGCGATGAATGAAGAGATGGAGTCTCTTCAGAAGAATGCTACTTTGAGGTTGGTGAAACTTCATACAAGAAGAAAAGTTATTAGATGCAAATGGGTGTATGCAAAAAAGAAGGATCACATGGAGTTGATGTGTGGTACAAGATAAGATTACTGACAAAAGGCTTTGCGCAATGAGAAGGTATTTACTATGATGAAGTGTTCTCCCCAGTAGTCAAGCATCTCTAGATCCTTGTTCTCTTGGCACTTCTAACATAGTACTGTCGAATTTTGGAGCAATGTGATATGAAAACTACTCTCCTACATGAGAATTTGCAAGAGAAGATCTATATGTTAAAACCGTCTGAATATGGAGCTATAAAAGACTTGATTTGCGGACTAGACAAATCTTTGTATGGGTTAAAGCAGTTACCATGATAATGTTATAAAAAATATGTTCAATTCATGATAGTAGTACACGATGTGCTATTAAGATTATTGTGTACATTTTAAAAGGTAAGTTAATAGTGAGTTCATTTACTTATTTCTATATGTTAATGGCATCAATTGCATCTATTAGTTAGATTGAGGTTATAGGATAAAAAATCAACTGTCCAAACATTTCGATATGTGTATATATAGGAGGATCAACCTGCTTATTTATTAGAGAAAATTTGGGAATCCCCCTAACTAGTTTAATTCTCGTCTTATTTATGTTTATGTCAGAATTATTTCCTATGTTTAGGCTAAATATATTTGATAAGATTGTAAATTATAAGGAACTGTTTCCTGTATATGTAACCTTATATTTAAAAATTTGGAATAAGAATTTGGAGAATTTCATCCCAAGTTTTTTTTCAAAATGTATTAGATTTGTATGTGAAAGAAAAAGAACATTGCAAAGAAATAAAAATAAGTCTAGAAAATAGAAGTTGCACTACATTATTTGCAAATCTTCATACATGTAGATTTCTACGCTAGGTATTGAAACCTCGACACAATATTTCAGGAAGGTAGTAACTAAAACTAGATCGAGAGAATTAAGAAAATTAAAAAAATTTGTAGCTGGCAATCCAATAACAAAACTAACATACTTAGATAAGTTGAATCTAGACCTAGTCTTTGATAGAAAAAGGTAGAATACATAATTGACTGCATTCTCCCCCAATTTTGGACAAAATAAGTTCAATAATCCCAGCTTCTCAATCAACTTCCCAAATGCTAGCTTGAATAATCCTCAAATTCCTTTGACCAACCTCAAAATTTGACATATAGCCCACATATGATATAGACAAGCATAATGCATATTAGTGTTCTCTAAGCTTCAGATTGAAAATTATGGGAGTATCCGCAAGTTTAAACCATAATATCCCCATCTCTAATAAAAGTGTTGGGAGATATGAATTGTGAAAACCAATTCAAGAGATCCAAAGCAAAATTTTGAATAAAAGCTCACAAAACAAGAAAACCACATAAAACACAAGATTTGACATGGAAGTACCCGAAAACG